GTACTCTCATTGCATTATTTTCTTCTGCCCTTAAAGCGCCATAATCTGTAAAATGAAGAAAGATACAAGCAAATGGACAAGAAAACCATTTGGGATGGGAACATGAGATGCCGCTGCTGATGCACCCGATTTAGACGATTATTCCACAAGGGCCACACAAAATGCCAGGAAGCTTCTGGGAGTTCAGCACCAAAGTAATAATGTTTGGGGTGGTGATAAGGATGGCTGAGTTTGGGGGATCCGTTTGCCAGGTACTAGACTTCTCACCCCAATCTCTGTCTCTACGGGGAGGTATATATCCACCTGGCTCACTGGAAACAGTCTATCAACAGAAAGGGAGACCTTGAGATTCCTGGTGGGATTCCGGCACAAGAGGACTCTAAGCCAATCTGGGCCCAGGTTGTGCTAAATATACCAGCAGTGTTTACCCTTTATGGAGTGCTTACTGGGTGCCAGGCACTGTGCTACACGTCTTATAAACATCATATTTCACACGCGCACACACACACACACCCCTCAATCATTAAATCTCATCATCAGCTTTCTTGTCTTCCCAGCACTAACCACTGTTTGATGATCTTATTCAAGTATTTTATTTGCTTACTCTCTGCCTCCCCGACTAGACTATAAACTCTGTGAGAATGGGTAACCTGTCTTTTTCATTCCTTGATGTAGCCACACCTCCTAGAACATTCATCAGCACACAGTAAGTCCCCAGTTACGTACTGATATATAAACGATGACATCTGACAGCAATTCTATGTGAGGGATTATTACTCCCATTTTACAGATGAGGAAACTGAGGTCTCGAGAGACACATGACTTGCTCAAGGTCACACGGATAATAACTGGCAGAGCCAGACTATACACCTGGGTCTAGCAGTTTCCAAAGGTGGACCTCCTGGACCAGTCTAGACTACATCACTTGGCAGTGGGAGGCTGGAGCTGGCTTCTTCTGGAGTGCTAAGCTTTCTAACTCCCAGTTTAGTGACTTCACTTTGCTAGCCTGATATTTAAATGTCACGGCTTCAGTATTTATACCATGGAAATGGGCAAAGGTCTACCGGCCAGGCTTCTTCTTCAAAAGAGCTCGTTCCCCAGCTCACCTCTGGATGTCTGTAATTCAAGTGTGGGCTGCTAGTTTTGCTGATTGCCTCTTACTGAACCTTAAATTCTCAGAGACCTCCTTCCTCCTCCTGGTCCCCTTTCCCGGAAGCATTCTTCTCTTAATGCCCAGAAGAGGAAGCCGGCATACCTCAGGGGCAGACAGCAGGGCTGCAGTTCTCTCTGGGGGCTGCTTTCCAGACCTGGGGCCCCAGCACTGTCTGGGTCTTTCCGAGTAATTGGTCCTTACTTCTCCCGGCCTGAGAACCCCAGGTAATCCACGCTAGTGAAGAGCTTTTCCCTGGGTGATTTGTGCAGATGAGTCCTCCCTCCCCCACAGGCCTTCTCTTCCCTCGTTAACCTTCCAGAGCCATAATCACCAGGGAAGGGGAGCGTGCTGGCTAGGTTTCCCGTTTCACACCTCTCGTCTGGCTTGGACTGGGGCTTTATGTCTGTCCGGGAGCCCTGAGAAGTGCTCGGGCACTGTTGGGGGAGATAATAGGTGATGGTGATCATGGAATCCCACCCTCCACCTTCAACCCCGTGTGAGTGCTAAGCTGCTTGTAAGCCAGGGTGGCAACAAATCCTTCAAGAAGCTGTTGGAAAATGCTTTATGGCACATAAGGTGACAAGGCTCTAGCTGAACAAATGGAAAAATTAGTCTACCTTAAAGTACCCAAGGCAAGTAATTTCCTATCACCTTGTTTCTTAAATGTACTTAACACCTAGAATCTGGACTTCCCCAAATACGGCTAAGGGTCATCAGTTAAAATGGCAACTTGGAGATGAAAAAGAAACTTCCACTTTAATAGTTGCTCATAAAATCATGCCATCAGCCCTTCTGTTTGGAATAGGGGGAGTTAGGAAACCAATAACATCAATTATTAAGTATTTCTGAATTTAAGGGGCTTGAGTCAGCCTATGAGCCAGACCCTTCCCCAACGTCCACCAGTGCTCAGCATCAGATATCCTGACCTCGCCACAGCGGCTGCCAAGTTCTCACACCTTCGGTTTGGTTTTGTTCTGTTTTCTCTTGGATGGAATGGTTTGCTCTGCTTGCTCCTTTCTCCAGATTTCTAAACGACTCCTTACCCCACAAAGAGAGTTACTGATGACAACCAGAGAGGCAGTCTGTCTGCTATTTTCTTTTATTCTTCCCTTTCCTTTTTCTTTTCCTCTTTCTTGAACTTTTTTGCTCTTTTTTACATTCATTTTATTCATTCACTCATTCGTTTGTTGATTCTATTCCATTCCTTCAATAAAGATCCATTAATTAATGTCTATATATCATGAACTAAGAATGCTAATTCCTACAGATACAGGAATTCAGCCTACAAAGAGTTTGCCCTTGGGGTGGGGTGCCACACAAGTAGAAGAAGTTGGGAAAGAGTAGGGCACTGTAGGTGTGTGAAGGACCTGCCCCTATGAGTTGGAGAAGGCTACATTTTACCTATGACCTGAAAGGAGACCAGGAGTTTGCAGGAGAAGTAAAGGGGAAGAGTGTTCCAGGCAGCAGACAGCAGGTGCAAAGGCCCTGAGGCATAAGGCAGTATGGTTCACAAAGGGGCTGAAATTAGCACTGCAGGACTGCAGTGTGAGGTGACTAATGGCAAGAGATGTGGCTGGAGAAATTAGGAGGGCCACATAATGTAGGGCCTAGCACACCATGGCAAGGAGGTGGGGGTGAGATTCAGAAGGCAATGGAAAGGTTGGAGCTGCGAGGGTCACGATGAATAAAAAAGCAAATGGAGGGTTAACCCATTCTCCACCACTCAGTCACAGCCACCCTTGAACAGAGCCTCTGAGTTTCTCAAGAAGGCTGGTGTCATTATCGAATGAGTAATCTGGCCTTAATGTTGATGACTGGGGGTGCGGGTGGGGGGAGGATGACCGTGACTCATAGGGGGCTGAAAATAAACCAGCCCTATGACTTTAGATGCAAATGAGAATAAATGGAATCTCTGGGGCTCACGGCAGTTGGTCTTTTTGGAGGAGGAGAGGCTGAGATTGAGATACAGGGTCTGTTGAATATTATAACATCTTCCCTGCACCTTTTGGCAGGCAAATTACTTCACAGGCCATGAACATGAGTCACTAAATTTTAAACCTTGGGTGAGAAAACCAAGTTTGATAAATGCGTCCAGCTACTGGAATAAAGACCCACGGCGCAAGCAAATCATGAAGTTCCGACAGTGCCAATGCAAAAACAGCCCCAGACCTGTGCTTAGTGCTACACATACACTCACAAACACACATGCACACACGCCCTCCCCATCTTGCCTTGGAATATCAGTTGCAAATGTCAATTCCTAAAATATCTCATGCCTAAAAGGCGATACAATTAAAAGTGACCCAAAGACACAGCAGAGATATGTTTAGGAAAGTTGGAGATGGGGCAGGGGGGTGTGGTGGCTCAGAAAACAAAAAAAAAGAAAAGAATGAAAAAACATCAGTCAGTGACGAAGACCCCCATGAATCCAAAAATCACATTTCAAAATGTTTTCAGTATTTTGTGGATTTATATCATCTCCAAAATTCCTGCAGCATCTTTATGGGTTTAAAGGAAATAACTACACATACTTCATTTTATTCTCTAGAAAAACTTGCCCTGTTGTGATCACTTGAGAAAGTGACTAAGAAGGCCTGTCCTTTAATTACTGACCGGATACCTAGGTTACAGAGCTCAAATCCTTTTAACGATGCATAAAACCACATGAGAGGCCCGATTAGCGTGTCCAGCGTTAATTAGCACCTTTCTTTGGCATTCTTGCCCACCCCCTAATTCATGACTGAGAACAGTAGAGCCTAATTTTTTAAATATATTATGTTAAATCCAAGAGGGTTTTTTTTTCTTAATTTAAAGCAGACTAAGTGTAGAAGAGGCACATTAAAAAAGAACTTCCCAGTATGCCCCCAGATCGAGCCTCTTAAGCCAGCAGTAAGAACATACCCCTCTCTGTGCTTTGTCATGGAGGAGTTCTCTGGATAAACCAGACACTTCCATGCACTTTTTTTTTTAAGAGTGAGCATCTTTCAAAATGGCGCCTTCCAATAACCAACAACTCCCAGAAACAACGAATGACCCCATCATTTGTCAAAGAATTCGGTGCCATTCAAAAGACATCTCCCAAGAAAGCACCTCCTCCCTGCCATGTAGTTTTCTTGAGTCAAACTTCAACGGCCATCCCTGTTGAGAAAAGTGCCTCTGGCAAGAAGTTGAAATTGAATCTAACTTGGCAAAATGAGAAATTATTTGGGGAGGGGGGCGGAACTAAACTTCGGTAGTTATTCTTCTCGATTGTACTTTTGTTCACAGCTTCAGCTGGGAGAGAGAGTGCACACATTTAGTTTGGAGTTTATGAGTTCATATTTTATAATTAACGTTGCCAACAGGGGAGTTTGATTAATACCAAGCAGTGGATTTTGAGCAATGTTCCATACAAATTGCCAAATTTAGCAATAAAATAAATTGGTTATGTGAACATAATTAGTAGGATGACTACTTAAAATTCAAAACCGAATGTGAATAATTCCAAATCATCTGAGCCACAAATCCATTATTTGTATAGAAGGGAGAAAGTATAGCACTTGGGTTTTATTTTGCCCTCAACCACAATGTTATTCACCACCAAGCTGAACATAATGAAACGTCTACAATGGGTTGTGACAATATTTTAGAGCAACCCAGAAACACACACAGACGCCTGCGCACACACACACACAAAGGGAATGCAATAAAGATAAGAAATGCTAAACTGAATTTTCATTGCAAATGTAAAAATCTATAACAAAATTTTCAGCAAATGCTGCATTACATTTTTTTCTGATGCGCCACACATAAACCTCTGGCACAAAATTATTCAGGAGAGCTTTTTGCTTTTAAATATTCACGGTACCTTATTGTCGCCCTGGACTTCTCCAAGCCTTTGCTGAAGTTCTTTAATTTCTTCTCCCAGATGTTTATTTCGGTCTTGAGAATCTCTCAATAGTTGTGCAAGATTAGCCTGGAAATATCAACACATTTTGAAATACAATCAGAAACCGAGGAGTAGAGAAATGTGTGGCTTTATCAGGCTCATGGCGGCTGGCATCCAAGTCCAGCTGAACCACATAAAGCCCATTAGAGTATGTGCATATATGAACAGCAAGTGTGCAAATCACACCACTACAACTGCATGGCGAGAAACAGAGTTGGCCATGAACTTCAGTTTGGGGATGTTTTTGTTTCCAGAATGAATCACAGACAGGTGATGGAGGAGTTGATCATATTCAACTTAAAAAAAAAAAATTAAGGGCTCTTCACTTAAACTCTTGAAAGTGGACACAGAGTTCAATTCTAACATTTGGGCCAATAATATAGGAAAGGTTTCATTTTCCTGTTTGTGTGTTTTTTTTCCTTCAAATAGATCTTGTTTCATGAATGTGTCTTTGCCACCCCAATGTCCAGAATTTTGATCACAGAGGAGGCAGCCAGAGAAGAGACCAGTGAGGTGTCAGGACTTCAGGAATCAGGATCCAGAGGGAATTCAACAGTCTCCTGGGCTGGTTTTCTCACCTCCTTCTTCCCCTGTTCTAGTTCCCATAGTACCGAACGAGCAGGGTGAGCACCTTCCAGTCCCATCTTCATGGTGTCATCCCTTTCTTAAGATCTCCTTCTGCTCAGACCACATCCCCTGGCCCATGTGGGCAGTTACCCACCAGGCAATGCCCCCACCTCAGTCCAGCTTCACCTACACATCACGGCCGTCTCCCCAGAGCACGTGAGCACCCTTTACCACCCTCCCACCCCTTCTCGGGTTCCCTGAACCTGAATTTGCTTATGCTGCCAAACTGTAGACATGCTTTGATCCACTCAAGCCTGTAGCTTACTATTCCACTTCACCTCCCATGGCGTCTTTTCCATACTACCTGAATTCTGCTTATTTGCTCTAATTCTTCCCTTGCTTATTGTGCTCTTATCTAACCTCAGCATGAAGAAATGTCCTTCAGGCAGAGATGCTTTCTCCTCCCTCCTCAGCACCTGCGTACACTGCTCCAGGAAGTGCTCATGTTCCAGCAACTGTTTTAAAGACTCAAGATGAATAAGTGAAGGAAGGAAGCAGGGAGGGAAGCCAGCAAGCAACTGGAATCTGACTCCTGAAAAGGAAACTTTCAGAAACAGTCCTACGGGGGAATTCTGAAGTCATCTTTTAGACTCCCTTCATGTAATAGCTGAAGAAACCCAAATCCAGAGGCATTACAGACAAGTGCAGCTGGAGGGGCTAAACCTCCAAAGACTTCAATGCTAATGCCTTCAGGAATACTCAGTCATGTTAGGTGATCAAGGGGAATACAAGCGAAAGAATATAAAGGTTATACCTTGGCTTATCCTTGACTCCTCGCTTTATCTCATCTCCCACGTCCCATCCACCGGGATACTCAGTGTCTCCACGGTCTAGGCAGCCCCCCCCATTCAGCTCCCCCCAAGCCCGGCTGTTCCCCACATACACCAGGCGTGAGCCCGTCTCAACGCTGCTCTCTCTCACTGTTCTCCCCCTCCAGAATTGGAACGCTCTCTCTGCAGAACACCTCTTGGCTCACTCCCTTGCCTTTTCCAGGTCTTTGTTCAAAGCTCACCGTTTGAAAGGGGCTCACCTGGGCCACTCTGTCTCCTACTGCAACCTGCCCACCTCCCCTCTGAACTCCCAGCCCCCTTCCCCTACCCTACTTTTTATTTCCATAGAACTTGCCATCTTTTCACACACTATGTGATTTACTTTATGGTTTATTGCCATATGTTTACATATGTTTATTGCTTACTGTTTATCTCCCCTCTCTCTTCTTACTAAGACGGAAGTTCCATGAAGGGTGAGGAACTTTGTTCTCTCTACGGTCTACCTCAAGCACCTAGTGGATACTCCATAAGTATTTCTTAAATGAAGCATAATATGCTGAGTCTGGGAGCTGTGGTCTCAAACTAGGGCAGTATCTGAAATAATAAAATACTGAAACGAGTGCCTGACACACAGCCTTGCATAGAAACCCCACTCATCTCTGTTAGCTGAATTTAACCGCGCCTGATTCCCACTCACTTACTTCTGAATGTTACTCAGTAACGTGATCCAATTCTCAGCCACTTATTTGCAAAGCTCATATCTTGTAATAGCTGTGTTCTAATTCTCCTAGATTTCCATTCTCACAGATACAAATTTGGTGAAGGATGAGGAAAGCTAATCCCCATTTTATAGGCAGGAAAGCAAAGAGACAAGAGACACTGTGATCAACTGACTATTTTGGCAGTTTCTCCCAAAGGAATCAGATAGACTAAGTTGGAACCAGACAGACTAAGCTGGAGTCAGAAGACTAAGGTGGATCCCATTCTGCCTCTTCCTGGGCTGGGTGAGCTTGGGTGAGTTTCTTAACTTCTTGAGTTTCCCCACCTGTTAAATGAAGCTAATCATACACACTTCATGTGGTGATTTGACACTTCAGTTGCATAATGAACACAGGACAGACACCTACCACAGTGCTTGGTATGCAGCAGGCACTAGTTAAAGGCTGGTCACCTCCCCTTGACTCTGCCCTTCCAGGAGCTTCAACTCAGTCACTCATTGGACAGTGACTGGCCGCACGGCTCCTTGGACACAGCCAGCTCCTTGCCATCCTGCCCTTTGCTTATTCATCCTTTCACTTAAACCACAAATATTTATTGGGTGCCTGTTACATGTCAGGCACTGTTTTAGACTCTGGAGATACAGCAGTGAGCAATACAGACAAAGCCTCTTGCCTTAGTAAACTCACATTCTAATAGATGATATTATGTTCATTACATTACATTATAATAAAATGAACAATGACCCAGGAGTTGGGTAATAAGTGCTATGGAGAAACTAAAGCAGGCAAAGCAGTGAGCGTGTGCCGGGGTAGAGGCCATAGAAGGCATCACTGGGGAGGCCACATGCAAACCAAGACTTGAAAAAGGAGAGAGAGTGAGCGTGAGCCTTGGGGATATCCCAGGGCAAGTTCCAGGTGGGGGCAAAGGCAACCAACTGGCTTCTTTCTCTCCCTCTCCCCTTCCCATCGCAAGCCTTCCATTTTGGAAAGCCCTTCAAGGCCACTGGAGCAGGCTGACCCCCAGGGACTGCAGTGAAGTGGAGAGATGGTTCAAGTCTTGATTTTCTTCTCCTGGTTCCTCCCCTCCATCCTCCACCTCTCCTTCTCCAGCACAAGGTATCACAAGTGGGCCGCCTCTCCAGGGAACACCGGAACACTTCCCAGACACCAGCTCAGCAAGCATAACCCCTCCCCAGCAGATGCAGGGACAGGCCCCCCTGGCTGGCTGGAGGGGCTGGCCTGGAGGCGTGGCAGGGACAGCTGGCTTGCACATGGCATCTCAGCACCCCATCTGCCAGAGACACAGCAAAATCCACCTGCACAGGAGCTGCCTTTTCTTAAACAGTGAAAGAGATGTTCGGAAGGAAGTGTTTGTAAGAGCATCAGTGAAAAGTTAATGAAAGATTAAAAAAAAAATCTGCAACAGCCCTGACCTTCCCTTTTTGAATCAATAATGGTTGGCTTGAGCCTCAGGTGAGTAGAAAGACCCTGACGTTCGCTCATCGGTGTGAGCACAACAGTAAACCAGTACAACCCGAACTGTCCGTGGTGAAAGGCGTCCACCTCCAGTCCGTCACAGATGACTGCTTGTGCAAAATACGACAGAAATCAATTACTAGGAAAAAAAGAATTGAAGAACACATCAAGGTCCCAAGTGTTTGTTAGATTCAGCTGACATAAAATCATGCTGTCAGACTGCTATGAAAAGTTTCTGAATGCTTATTCTCAATGTCTGCACTTGTCTTGGACCAGAAACAGCAGCTCGCAGCCTGGCACTGAGCCCGGTGATGCTCCCAGGTATGTGGATGTTAGAGCAAGGCAGGCACCCAGTTATATATCAAAGGTTCCAGTGATACATGAAGCTGGGGACAGGGCTGCTTTAGGAGACAGCGATTCAGAGACCCAGTGATGTGACTGTCAAACATTATTTACTCTGCAGCCTGGTTGAAAAGAAATCTACCAAAATTAAGTCAAGCATTTCTCCAGTGGCTGCAAAACCATGGCTAATTGGAAACACATCACCTCCAAGGGAATTCACAGTAAATGTACCCCAGCTTTCAAACTGACCCCTGGGGTAGGGTAGGGTGGGGGAGACTCCCATTTTAAAGCAGGTGACTGTAATTTTCTTTCACATTTCACAGGCTGGCTTGTCAACACACAGTTCTTTTCTATTCAGTCCTTCCACCTCCTCAACTCTCAAACAATAACTTTGAAAACTAGAAAATGACTATTCTGATATGGTGCCTAATTCCTTGACATATACCTTAAGGAACAAAAAGGAAAAAGACAGAAAGAAATAATGTAGTACATTTCAAAGCACTCAAAATAGAGGAGAAAAGTTCACACGATTCTTTTGACCAAAAATAACACCCATGACTCACACACATTCACTATAACAATCCATCAAGCTAACACGCGGCGCCTGCTTATAATTTATCAGCTATGCAGAGCGTTTTGTCTCTGTGTTATTGAGAAGGACTCTGTGACCATCAGTTTAGAATAGCAGCACTATGGAAAGGAAATGTCAGGGAAAAAGTGTCAGACCGTCTAACACTGGAAAGAACTTCATAGGGAAGGAAAACGAAATCGAGAGATTATTTCCTCTAAATCTCTGGGGCTGGGAGTAGCATAAATAGTAAAAACATGAAAAGGTTTCAAAAGAAGCCTCTTTTTAAATATTCAGATCTAGCCAGGGCTGACGTTCAAAGGTTGACATTTTAGCTCTGATAATAGTGGAATGCTGAATACAGCACAGTATACTGTAGAATCTATATGCATAAAAGTCACTTTTTCTAGCTAAGAGTTTATCTATTAAAATTGTGATGGGGATGGGAGAGAAAAGAGATTTGATGAAAACATACCGGGAGATCCGAGGCCGAAAGGACATTATAGCCCTCCATTCAGACACATC